AAAAACTAGAGCCTAGGTGCTGTGCACAATGTAGTGTTGTCACTGCTTTCTGGCAGTCCTCATTCCACCATGGCTGACCTGTGCCTTGCCCGGTGCTCTTCTTGGTGGAACTTTCCACGGGAAGCTATTAGTGCATCTGTGATACCTTTAGCCAGGGCATCCAGCTGATCTGTATTGGGGTACTCTGGGAAATCACATAGTTTGTCTAGTTTTGGCTTATAGGCCTCCAGCGTCTGGTTAAAGACCTTCTCATTCATGGTGTCGAGACAGAAAAAATGGGTTGGCCTGTCAGGCCTTGCGCCCTGTGGAAGGCTGATTTTGGTGAGAAGAGTCTGGTGGTCAGAGGAAGTGTAAAGGGATCTGTCCACCTGTGTGTCCACTCCTTTGATAACTAATTCCGGGGTGGCCCAGGCCAGGTCTATCATGTTATGCCCACGTGTGGGAGTGTCTGGGTCCATGGTGAGAGTAAAGTTGAAATTCATGGTCCATTGCAGGAATGGTTCCGCCCACATGCTTGGAGGCACTCCTGGTTGCCACACGGGGTGCTTGATATTGAGGTCGCCAGCAAGGAGCAATGGGAGTGCTGGGACAGACCAGGAGAGAAGACAGCCCACACCTTGTCCAGGATCCTCTGCGCCTGGGGGTGCATTGTATATGTTGACTGTCTGAAGCTGTAGACCCCAGGCCTGTATGTGCAGCATGTGGATGTCCTGGTTTTCTGCCCAGGGGCCTGGGACTGCATGAGCATGGATTTGTGGGTGTTTACGCACATAGGTGAGGACCCGTGGCTTCCTGTCCCACTTTTCAATTGGGGCAAAGCAGTTGAATGCTGGATGCTTTTTGGAGATGCGTTGGCTTAAGTTCCTGTGAATCCAGGGTTCCTGTATGAGAAGGATGTCAGTCTTTCTTTCAAACGCTAGATTGAGGGCTGTCTCGTGTGCTGGGCCCCCTTTTCCTACGTTGACTTGCATAATCTGCAGGAATTGCGGAGATCTAGAGTTCTTCTTTCATTGAGTAGCTGAAAGGAGGGTGTTGTTGCGTGAGATGACGTGTTGGGTGTTGCATTAGATGTTGGGTTGGGCGCCATGCCTAATGCTGTGCCTGATGCTGTGCTCAATGCTGTGCTTGTGCTGTGTTTGATGTCGGTGTGAGGTTAGATCTATGCTCAGTAGATCATTCACCTCAGGTCTGCTGATGGCCCTCGACCACCGCATTTGCTGTTACTTGCCTTGGCCAAGTATGCCTTACTCTGTGCATTGCGGATATCCCTCAGC